TTTTTTTTTTTTTTTCCTTTTTTCCACAAATCAATGATGGAGCTGATGGAGGCGGTTAATTGAATTACGGGGTCATTAAAATGCCCACGGTGGCTCACTCCTGCGAGGAGGCTGTATATGGCTGTTATGTCTAATTAATTCGGCGAAAATTTAATTAACGCGATTAGGAGATACAAATGCTGGGTTTGTGGCATTGCCCCATGATTTTTTTTGAGTGTGTGTGTGTGTTTGTTGAGTTGACAAATATGGTAGAAAGCTAATCTGTGCAGGACTTGGTCCACGGGCCACCTATAACCTCTGGTGTATCAGCTGATTGGATTTATAGCTCTCTAATGTGGAGTTAGTGCAACGGAGCCAATGAGATCAAATCAGAATTTAAAAAGAGGTTAATTAATTGAAAAAAAAATAGAGACTTGCTCAATTTTAATATTTAGAAACATTAAAACAGACTTCAGTTAATATCAGTACAATTTAATTAGGCCCCAACCCTTTTGTTTTCCAGTAATTTTACAGGAGAATTCTAATTTTAGAGGTATTTTTAGCTCTCCCTGCCCTCTGTAAACATGCATATGAACATGAATCCAAATGCAAAGTGTAAATCAAGAGGGAAAGTAGCCAGCGTTTAACAGCAACAAATACATTATCATGGGATAATACTGTAATTAATATTTGGCTGTTATAAATTCGAGTCCCCTTTGAGTATTCACTTGTGATCCTTTGTGGTTTCCTGTTACAAATATGGGCAACAAATCAATAGATATCAGCAGTGAAAAAATGTTCCCTCTATTTACAGGATTTTCATGGGAATAAGTGAGCCCATAATGGCTTAACGTTATCTAAGTCGTTCATCAGTCCAGCACACAAACACAAAAGGCCGGGAGAGGAGTGTGATCCCCTGGGTCCGCCGCCCTGAGCGGCCCGCCACTGTGAAAGTCTCATATCTCAGCTCTCTAATGACTCGGTTTGATGTCTCTCCATTTATCAGTGAGCCCGCTTCACATCACTGCGGCTGACGCACAAGTCGAGGTCTCTCCCTTGTGCCATGAACTGTGCCTTTTGTTGTTAATAGACCTAAATCCTCTTTAAGGCGCAAATCTGCGCTCCCTGTCGTGTGCCTCGATATCACCCCGCAATGAAGTGGCGTTTGCAACAAGGCACACGTGCGTGTAACGAAATAATCCACCAACAGGGGCTTCTTTAAAAATGAAATTAAAGGAAATGTCTTCACTTTTACGCACGGCATCTGCACCTGCCATCCAACTTTGGGGTGTAAGAAAGATAATTTATCTTTATTTGTTCAGAGGTCATTTTAGTGCGTAATATAAAAAATGTGTTGGATATGAGAACATATTCACCAAAAACACACTCTGAAATTAAACAGTGGAAATAAATGTACTGTTAACCAGCACAGATGAAACTACATTTACTATTAAGATTATTTATTTTTTAACCATTGTGTTTTGACCGGTGTATCCAACACCAAAGCTCATTTACAATTCTTCAGTGCAACAAAATATTCATCCAGAATAATAAAGGAAAACATATCGCCAGAAGGCCTATAGGCACTGCATGTTTAATATGAATGACGAACACAGTGCCCAATTAAAATAACACAACCTATAGCAAATTAACCTATTCAATTTTACATTTTTAATCACATTTCATTTTACATTGTTTTTCAGCTCACTACAAGACGCCGGCAGTTAACGGCGAATTTAGCATTTCCATTTTTTTCCCAAAGATTTAAAAGTGATTGCATGTATAATCTCACAGACTCGAGGCATGTGGTGTCCAATCAGCAGAAGCCTGGAGGAATATCACAAGAAATCCAGGAGGGATGCTCTTTACGCACCAACGTTGGTGTCGCTACAGTTTAGTGGCCAAAAACTCTTAAAGGGGCCTCAATCATATTTTCACTTGCTGTTCATTCCCCACGATCCCAGCACCCCGCCTTCCCTGCTACACGTGCGCTCCCGAAAAAAACACAGGCGTGTAATTTTTAATTATTCAGTAGTTTATTTATTATCAGTATTATCGTTGTCATCAGTGTGGCCGACCACAGGACAGAAAAGGGAAACAGTGAGCAGTAAATGTATGTACATTTTACATAAATAATAATGAATAAATATAAAGTAAATTATAATTATATTTATAATTATAATTATATATATAGTAATATAATTAAATTATATTTATTTTATATTGTTCCTGAGTGTCACGAAATTGTGAATTTAATCATCACTGCTGATCATCAGCTTTGATCAATGTGGTGTGTGTCCAAAATTATGTTCTACATTTTTACTTTCATTGCAATACCACTTGTCTATATGCTCATATTTATATCCATTTTACAACAGTTGCTTCTACCTATGTGATATATAATATGAAGAATTAAATCACATAATCACCAATACTCAAATGACTTACTCAGATAAATACTTTATTAAATCTATTGGAAATGTTGTGAGTGCTGAGTAAAATTTAACATGGCTGCAGGTTTCTTTACACTGAGTTACTAGTAAAATATAGGCTAGTCCTCGCTGAGTTGCAGGAGGTGACAAGCACTGTCTTTTACTGTTCATAAACCTACTCATGCCCTGATCGCCCATTTACCGCTAATTAGGGAGCTGAGGAATTCCTTCTCTACCTGCTTGTGAAGGCTTTGGAACATTATCAAGACATCAGCAGACTTAAATGAGGCTGCGCTGGCTGGAAGAGAGCAGAGACACAGAGATACAGAGACACA